GTATACTCTACTTCTCCTATCACACCTNTTCATTCTACTTGGTACTATATACTATCATTTAGCCTACTACCAGTACACCCTATCTATCTCTTGTCTGATATTATATGTCATTTGCCTATCAGACACCCTATTCCATCCTTCTTTGGTCTGAATATATATCATTTGCCTATCAGACACCCTATCTATCCTTCTTTGGTCTAAATATATGTCATTTGCCTATCAGACACCCTATTCTATCCTTCTTTGGTCTGAATATATATCATTTGCCTATCAGACACCCTATTCTATCCTTCTTTAGACTAATTGATCATTTGCAATATCATTTGCATATCAGACACCTAATTCACCTGGGTCCAGTATTGAACTCCAGATGCGATGTGAGTTTTTATTGTGAAACAAATTTATCCATTCATCCCTGGCGTAGGTGGTACCGCCCCCTCTGCCCAAAGTGTGCAGCCAGTGTTTCATACCATCCCTGAACACCAAAGTTCTCCTCATCACTGTGCTATACGCCGTGTGATGTGTGCTGTTGTATATACAACGCACCTGCAAATATTCAATATTCCAAGAATCTCTGTACGCCTATAGTCAGAGAATCCTTGTACGCCTATATTCCAAGAACCCCCGTATTACTAACCCCATGCACTCGTGTGCTGGTTAATTCTTCTACAACCACCTACTCATCCGCTACCCGGTGCCGGGCACTCGCACATGGCATCGTTCATGCCCCACTGATTGGGTGCCGCACCTTGCTCAACAAAGAACAGTACATAGTTGACTATCAGGCACAGCATGAACACTAGCGTGATGACAACCGGGCCAACCACAGTGTTGTACGGCTTGGACTCGCGGTTGCGGATCATTTGGTCGCGCCAGAAGTACAGGTACAGCGCGTAGCCCAAGAACAGGATGGCGACCGGGATGAGCATGATTCCAGCCATCTTTGCGCCTGTGTTTGAGTCGGGAGTGGGTGAGTATGTAGTGTCTTATAATTCGTGCATAGTTCATGCCCGTGTTCCGGTGTCGTATATAGCCGCACAACGCACTGATATGCTGATGAGAACGAAGCGACTTAAATAAAACAATTGACCTACTGGAGCACCGGCAAATGAAGTATTCAGAATGCTTAACCCCTCACCCTAAAACCCTAAGTACAACAAGAAGCAGGCTGATAACGTCTGGACGACTTTTACTTCACAGACTCGATATTCGGACTACCTCTGAGCAACATACAGAAACCCCGGCGAATTGCCGAGCATAACCCAGACCCTACTAGGACTTCCGGTATAGAAATATAAAGCATGCATAACCCCAACAACATATAAAACTGCGATACCCCAATCGATACAGTTGTAGCGCGTCTTGCTTACCCTTTGCAGACGCCTTGTTAGGTGCCAGATTGAGCAACGCCAGGCCAATGGTAGAGATCATCGTAGAGGTGTGTAGCCAGTTCAGGAAGGTCCTCTCTGTGTAGTATCACGCGCGACAGATTAGCAATCACAGTGAAGTGCAGAGTGGGCATGTATTAATCACAGACTGCCAAATGGGCATGTATTAATCACAGACTGCCAAATGGGCATGTATTAATCACAGTGAACTACCGAATGGACATGTATTAATCACAGTGAACTGCCGAATGGGTATGTATTAGTCACAGTGAAGTGCCGAATGGGCATGTATTAATCACAGACTGCCAAATGGGTATGTTTTAATCACAGACTACCAAATGGCCATGTATTAATCACAGTGAACTACCGAATGGGCATGTATTAACCACAGTGAACTACCAAATGGGCGCATGTATTGGATTGAATTGGATCGAATAGAATTGATTCAATAAACTGCTATGAATCGAGGTCGTACAAACGCAGAACGCCCTCTCTGTGTGGGACATACGGGTATAGTACAATACAATAGATGAAAGATTCCAATCCGATTAAATTGGAAAGGGTCCTATTGGAATACGCAGAATTGAATTAGAGGCAAATAATCAGACGGGAAATCGAGCACTTGGTGTGAAGGCGAACAAATGCGTGCAAAGGAATTTTGCTTTTGTTGTTCACACACTTCAGTGAAGACCAACAAATATTGATGCAGTATATGAGATATAAAGTGCGCACGCTATGCGCGATGACGATCACGTCTGTATAAGGTCAAAATAGTCTAACGAATACGCACCACCAGCTACACGTTTACGCACAACCATCTATACGTTTACACATCCCCAACTACAAAAACACATCAAAAGTTCATGACATTGCAACTCCATATATGTACATACATACATACATAATATATATTTATATATATATGTGTGTGTGTGTGTGTGGGTGGGTGCATATGTATATGCATAGTTTTCATGAGTGCAACGGTCCAATACATACCATTGGCAAAGAAGACCTTCGGCTCCACCCGTGCGGGTATAAGGATAGTCTTTGAACGGTCGCCTCTAGGGCCTCCCTTATCCATTTCCAGTGCTTGTTCATTCACTTTACGCAGTTTGTCTAACACATTGATGTTGTGCTTCTTTCGTTTTCGAAGCAGGGACGAGCTTTCGTCCACACTAACATCATCGCCGTCTGTGATCGTACCATCCGTATCCGCGCTGTTATGTACAGGTGTAGCACAGCAAATAAATTAGATATATATATATATATATATGTATATATATACGTATGTATGAATTTATATATATATATATATATATATAATATATATGTATGCATGTATATATATATATATATATATGTGTGTGTGTGTGTGTGTGTATATATATATATATGTGTGTGTGTGTGTGTGTGTGTGTGTGTGTGTGTGTGTGTGTGTGCGTGTGTGGGTGTGTGTGCGTGTGTGTGTATGCGTGTGTGTGTATTTGTGTGGGTATGTGTATGTATATATATATGTGTGTGTGTGTATGTATGTATATG